CACGAGCAGCTGGATAGAACAGGTGGAATTTACGCAGCTCATTTACGCACTTTTCATGAAGATAGAAGAGTTTGTTGAATCTGACGTGACATGTTCGTACAAACCCTTTGTACGAACAAAAGTAAGAGAAATTTAGGAGAAGAATACGAACATGTTCTTGCATGAGGCCCATTGTTAGGAGTGTTCAGTCACAACTTTTTACTTCCAATACAATACCGATATTGCAGCCTTGAGTATTGTAGAGTGGAATGTTAAAAAGCCTTGATCAAGTCAAACAGTAAACAATAGTCAACAACAGTAGATATGAAAAAGACTGGTCCCATTTAATATTAACCAATGGGTTTCATAGATTTTTAACTTAAACATAAGAATTTTGTGCAATTAAATACAATAAATAAATAATAAAAACATATATACTTTTAAAGCGTAAAATAACTATTCAATATCACTTAAGCTATTTATGCTGGATTCAAGCGCTGCTGGATAGAAATCCTGAGCAGACCACTGGAATATACATCTTCTACTGGAGTGCTTAAATCTGTGATTTTAGATGCAGGCCGATATTATCCAATATTGATATCATATCGGGACACCCCTAGGCATTGTATTAAGGTCAAATTATTGTTATTGTATATTTTACACAATTCAAAATTGTTTAAAAAGTACATAACAAAAAAAACTAACTGTAAATCCAGTCTTTATAGGTCATGATTATCTGATCATAAATACTACATCATGGACCATTTGCATTACACAATGACATAAATAGTTGAACATTTGTTTTTAAAGTCTTTAAAACTGTACAAAGCATCAAACGTCCATAAGCTRGCAAAGTTGTCTAAGTTACTAAAACATACCCAATACATGAAAAACCTGCCTCATCCTCAGTATCAAGATAATGATCCGAGTTTATTACAACTCCAAAAGTCACCAGGAGCCTCAYTTATCAAAGAGCAGCTTTTATACTGAAAGTTATTGTAGGGACCAAATTGGAAAAATACGTATTCACAAAAATATTCAAATTTAACAAACCATGCCCAGGTATGTACAACTTCCTGTACATGAACTATACACCTTTATCGTAAATGAATAAAGTAAATTAGGGGCATAAATCTACACAYATTTAATAACATAATTACTGTAAACACAGAAGTACTCAGAGGATGGGTAAACTAGACTTGACACTTGATGTAAAGAAACGAGTCGCAGAGCATGACTTCTAGTTGTAAGGAACTCCAGGTCGGTGAGGTCTTGAACTGGCACCGGCAACACTCAGCTCTTGTGTGTTTGCACTGAATGAWGATGCAGTGATGTTAATTGTGTATAACAAAATTATTTTGTTGTCCTGCCATGTGTCAGCATTAACCATGCAGAAGAACAGCAACATGTCAGTTATGCAGGATGTATCAAAAAACTTTTTTTTTCATTTTGAAAACCGTACACCGTCCCTCCCCCTTCTGTGTACCGTTTGTACGCTTGTAAAAATGTTGAAAGTTGAACCACCCCTAAAGAGAAAATGGCAKTTTTTGTTTACAAGGCACCAATATTTCAGAAAGGGGGTTTAACTGGGTCTATTTGTGAACACTGAGTTAATTTACTCTGAGCAGGGAAGCTCAAKATTTCCAGTTCCAGAAAAGCTGATTTCAGTCAACTCTGAGTATTTTACTTGGCATTACCATGGCATTTACAAGTAATGAAAAGTAAACAATCTAGTTATTTTATTCTGCTGTGGTAAATGGTCCTGTTCAAGCTCATGAAAAATACAGTCAAGTATTTCAGGAAAGAAAAGAACATGGGCAGCAGCATCTCAGACACAGAGAGAGGCTGCATGGAAGAAAACTGTTGCTTGGGCYAATGAATAACTTTCAATGTACTACTCCACAATACACACAGTGTACTATTGATTTGACATTTATCTGCAGTTAAAACTATAGTATAGTCTGTAGGTGTAAACTTGATGGATTCATTAAGTGATTGATGTAATGTGTCAGGGGAAAATAGAATAGAATAGAAGCAGCCTTTATTGTCCTGTGTGGGGAAATTCGGGTAGAGTGCAAATTAGGACCCAAATAAAACTGAAGTATAAAAATATTCACAAGGTAAGATTTTTTAAATCATAATCTATAATGGCTGTTACATTACATTAACTATTAAGTATGGGCCTAATTCAATCAGTAATAGTTGAAGCCCCAACAAAATACTGTTTTAACACATTTAGAAAAACCCCAGAGTATGTACACTCACCAGTCAATTTATTAGGTACACCTTGCTAGCAGGTTGGACCCACATTTTGCCTTCAGAACGGCCTTCATGGCACAGATTCAACAAGGTACTGGAAACATTCCTCAGAATCTGATCCATACTGACATGATAGCATCAAACAGTTGCTGCAAATATGTCGGCTGCCCATCCATGATGTGAATCTCCTGTACTTCCACCACATCCTAAAGGTGCTCTGTTGGATTGAGATCTGGTGACTGTGGAAGCCATTCAAGTTGTCGTGTTCAAGAAACCAGTCTGAGATGATTTCCACTTTATGACATGGAGCGTTATCCTGCTGGGAGTAGCCATCAGAAGATGGTACACTGTGGTCATAAAGGGATGGACATGTCAGCAACAATACTCAGGTAGGCTGTGGCATTGACACGATGCTCAGTTGGTACTAATGGGCCCAAAGTGTGCCAGGAAAATATCCACCACACCATTGCACCACCACCAGCCTGAACTGTTGATAGAAGTCAGGATGGATCCATGCTATYATGTTGTTGACGACAAATTCTGACCCTACCATCCGAATGTCGCAGCAGAAATCGAGACTGACGGGAGTGGCACTCGGTGTGGTCTTCTGCTGCTGCTGTAGCCCATCTGCCTCAAGGTTCGACGTGTTGTGTGTTCAGAGATGGTCTTCTGCCTACCTCGGTTGTAACGRGTGGTTATTTGAGTTACTGTTGCCTTTCTATCAGCTCAAACCAGTCTGGCCATTCTCCTCTGACCTCTGGCATCAACAAGGCATTTGCTCCCACAGAACTGCCGCTCACTGGATATTTTTTCTTTTTCGGACCATTCTCTGTAAACCCTAGAGATGGTTGTGGGTGAAAATCAGAAGCAGTTTCTGAAATACTCAGACCAGCCCGTCTGGCATCAACAACCATGCCACATTTAAAGTCACGTAAATCACCTTTCTTCCTCATTCTGATGCTCAGTTTGAACTGCGGCAGATCATCTTGGCCATGTCTACATGCCTAAATACACTGAGTTGCTGCAATGTGATTGGCTGATTCGACATTTGCTTTAATGAGCAGTTGGACAGGTGTACCTAATAAAGTGACCGGTGAGTGTTTTTGCATTGCAAAATCAGGTAATTGACAGACATTTCATCACTGAAAAAACAGTTAAGATGTTTGAATTTTCACGGATGAAAGGTGTTATTTGTTGGAACAATATTACAACCCTAGCAGTTGCATTTTTGCTTGTAGGAAGCAAATGAATGCAACCTATTTGTCTTTTGTGATTGTCGGGACAGGGTTTATCAGCAAAATAACTTCAGCAAATCTTAGTTTTAAGTCAGAAAATCCTTCCACAAAATAATTCTGCTGTGACGTCTATTTGATTCAATGAGATCTGACTTCAGTAGAAAGAAGACTAGCAAAAACTCAGAGTTTCTTATAGAAAACATAAGCAGGTGAACATGGTGATAAACTCAGAGTTTTACTTTTACTTGTCTGTCTGGAACGGAAAAAACAAAGTTCCCCTAAGCTCAGGGTTAAATTACTCAGAGCTTAACCTTAGCCTACCGACTTTCTGGAATACCCCCCCCCCCCCACACACACACACACACACCACCTCTGTTAGGATTTATGTATGTAAATAAATAAAAGAGTAGTTTAAGAAACTTGTAAGTAGACTTGCTTCAAGAGCGCCGCAGAGCCATTAAAGTTAGCGTCATTCTTTCTGTCATGCAGACAACAGCAATGTTACTCTAGTATAGTGCTTTATAGGAAACGAGCCAAGTGGTTTGAATTTTAGCAATTTTTTATGTTTTTTCATATCTAATTGTTTGAGTTGTTTTTATAAGCTTTGATAAAAATATTCTCATCAAAAACTTAGATTGTTTGAGTAGTTTTGCCATAAAGTTAAGTGGCCTGAGCTTATCAGGTTAATCAAGAAACACAAAATTATCACTAGCTGAAAGCTACTAGCCTACCGTATGTTTTTTTTAAA